ATCTCGGCTAGACGTCGGCTAGACGTCGGCCACATCTCGGTCATCTCGGACAGATCTCGCCTCGTCGACGAGGGCGAGCTGGCCCTGCGCGATGTCGCTCAGCAGCAGCCGGATGGCCTAGAGAGGGCGGGACACGCCGAGGTAGCGAGATGTCTCGGCGAATCTCGGCGGATCTCGGGCGGATCTCGGCGAATCGGGGCGAATCGCGGCTAGTCTTGCGCACATCGTCCCCGTCCCCGAGGGGCGAGGCAGGCGGGGCTAGCGGCGACGTCGGCGGGCCAATGGAGTCGAGGAGACCAAGCTCGCCGCCGGAGAAGCAGTAGTGGCCGGTCTCTGCAAGCTGGTCGTCGGGCGTGTGGCCGGCGCAGGCGGCGGAGGAGGCCGTAGCGCACGCGGCAGAGGAGGAGGCGGCCGCGGAGTCAGACGGGTCGGCGGCGGCAGACAGGGCGGCGGCGGCGATGGAGCGGGCGGCGGCGGCGCGAGAGGCTGCGGCGGGCGAGGCGGGCACCTCGGGCCCCAGCGCCGTCTCCCGAGGCCCCTCCTGCAGCGGTCCCTCCTGCAGCGCGCCGTCCGGTGCGCAGTCGGAGTCTTTCTGGTGTGGCTCGAGCGCGGTCGCCCAGCCCGCCGCCGCTGCGCCCTCCGACAGGGACGAGTCGACGTGCGGCGCGGGAGAAGGGGGCGCGGCGGCGGCAGGGGCGGGGGAGGGGCGCGCGGCGGCGACGGAAGATGGAGAGCCGGCCGCTGATGCGAGCGAGGCGGGGGGGGGCGCGGGTAGCTTCTTGCGGTCGGGCACCTCGCCGCGCTCTCCAGACGTGCGTGAGCGGCAGCGCGGCAGCTCCGATGATGGGGCGGCGGGCGGGGCGGGCGAGGCGGTCTTGCGGCCCGGCTGGTCAAAGCGCAGCTTCCTGGCCTCTCGCGAGAGGCGGGGGCCGGGCTGTGCGGGCAGGCTCCCCGCCTGCGTCGTGCCAAGCACCGGAGGTCGGGGCGGGAGGACGGTCTCGTGCAGCGTACCCCGAGCACGCGTTGGTACGCGGGCGGCGAAGTCAGTGCGCACAGCGGAGTGCAGCTGGGTGCTACATACAGCTGAATGCGGATTCTCTAGAGTCCCCAACTACAGGGGGCTGCATCGCATCTACACCCTCCCACCGTGGCGGGCGCAAACTCGGACGAGGGCGGCGCAGCCTTGCGCTTGCCCGCCGCCTTGGCGCTCTCCCCAGCTGTCACGCTCAGGCCGCTGCCCGCCGCGATCGGCCGCAACGCCGACGCCGCCAGATCCTCGGCGCGGGCCTGGTTTGATGCCTGGAGCAAGGCTGCCAGCCCGCTGACAAACTCGCCCACTCGCTCGTCGGCGACGGAGTGCGATCCCGACGGAGGCGAGGCGTGCACGCTCGAGGTGTCCTACGGCCGAGGTGGAGCCGAGGTAGAGCCGAGGTAGAGCCGAGGTGGAGCCGAGATAGAGCCGAGGTAGAGCCGAGATAGAGCCGAGATAGAGCCGAGGTAGAGCCGAGGTAGAGCCGAGATAGAGCCGAGATAGAGCCGCCTGCTGCAGACACAAGGCCGCCACCTGCAGGCTGGGCGGGAGCAGCTCGTCCAGATCCTCGCCCTCGCCCAGCAGCGCAGCGGCGACGCCAGACGAGGGGGCGGACGGCGGCGTGAGGCCGCTCCTGGCGCCGGAGGTGAAGCGCGCAAAGTCATCCGGGCTCGACTTGGCGTCGGGGGGGGAGGGGGCCTCCTCCTCTTCCTCCTCCTCCTCCTTCCCCTCCTCTGCCGCCACCTCCTCCGCCTCCGCCTTCGCCTTCACGACAGCCCTCGCATACGCCACCGCCGCCTCCACCGCCGTATCGAAGGTGCCGATGTGCCTGGAAATGCCGCCCACCACGTGCCCCGCCCGGAAGCCTCCGCCCGAGAGGACACCGGCGTCCTGCCGCACGCCCTTGTAGCCGGTGGCGCTTTTGCTCGAGAGGTGGAGCTGCAGCCCCTCCGCCTCCGCGACAGGAGTCTTGCACTTGGCTGCCTCGCCCGCCGCGCGCTGGGAGGCCGACTTGGTTGCTTGGGGCCTAGTGGCGAAGCACCGAGTACTCAATTGATGCATGAATGGACACAGTACAACCTAGCATGAAGAGTAGTCAGCAATGAATAGGGGAGGGCGCAGACTTGGCCGCGCGAGGACTCGCTGCGCTGGCGGAGCCGGCAGGCTGCCGTCCGGGCTCCGGTCGGCCTCGCCTCTTCTTGCGCTTCCCCTCCTCCTTGTCTTTGGGCTTGGGAGGAGGAAGAGGGCAAAACCCCTCCTTGTCGTCAGCACCGCGTCCATCATGGCAGAGCCAATCCTGCCCTTCCTCCTCGGCGAGTCTCGCCTCTTTGATGCTGTCGAAGCCGGCGCACTGAACGCATGCCCACTGCGGACAATCGACGTCGCAGCGGCCGGAGCATTTGACGGCGTCCCATACAGGTTTGCCCGCCTGCTCGCGCGCCAGTGGTGTGAGAGATCTGGGCGGGTCTGGGCGGGTCTGGGCTGGTCCCGCACCTCGTCGTCGAGGGCTCTGCCGCATATGACGCAGATGGGGGGGCAGGGAGGGTCGGCCGCGTTGTACAGGCCGGCGGACGGAGTGAGGCTCGTCAAGAGCTGCGTCGGGTGGAAGCTCTTCTTGGGCGTGCGCTCGAAGATGCCGCCTTGGGACCCGCCATGAGGTCGAGGTGAGGTCGAGATGGGGTCGAGACATGAGCCGAGATGGGGTCAAGATGAGGTCGAGATGAGGTCGAGGTGAGGTCGAGATATGAGCCGAGATGGGGTCGAGATGAGGTCGAGATGCGCCGGGATGCGCCGAGGTTCGCGGCCCTCTCTGGTGGGGGCACCGGCGCGCTTCGTCACGCCCCTCTTGCTCCGCTCGTCGGGCGGGAGGGCGGCCTCCTCGTCGCGGCTGCAGAGGAGGGAGGGGGAGGGGGAGGGGGAGAGGGAGGGGGAGGGCGAGGGGGAGGGGGAAGGGGAGGGGGAGGGGGGGTGGAGCCAGAGGGCGGGGGGTTGGCAATGTTCAGGGCGGACGGGGAGCGGGTGCGCGGTACATGCCGCGCTAGTACGGCCCACCCGCCGCACGAGAGCTAGCCGCACCTCCTCCCGAATCTCATCTCGGCTCATCTCGGCTCATCTCGGCTCATCTCGGCTCATCTCGCCTTCGCGCGAGGGTCAGCCGCACCTCCTCCCACTCGTCCTCGTCCCGCACCTCTGCCTTGAGCTCGTTTGCTGCGCCGTCGAAGCGTGACAGAGCACACCGCCACTCTGCCATCGTGGCGTCTTCGCCGTCGTCCTCGTCCCGCACGTCTGCCTCGAGCTCGTTTGCTTCGTCGCCGTCGTCGTACTCCACGTCCACCGTCGCGCGGCCCCCGCGCGGCTTGCCGAACCCCGCGACCACGCCCGCGAAGAACTTGTGCTCGCCGTCCCAGTACACCTGTCGCAGGCCCTCCGAGAGTTGCCCGAGCTTCCTCGAGGTTGCTCGAGATTGGCCGAGCTTTCCCGAGCTTCTCCGAGCTTCTCCGAGCTTCTCCGAGATTCCCCGAGATTCCCCGAGACTGCCCGAGACTACCCGAGATGGCGTGGCGCTCTTGGCGCACCTTGACGCGCGAGCCAACCTCGAGCGGCCTCAGCCGCGTAGTGGCGGGCGTCGCACTGCCCTGCAGCAGCGGCCGGTGCCGCTTGCGGCCGTCGAAGCTCGACGTGTGGCAGGAGCGAGGGGTGCCCGCCGCCCGCGCGCCGCCGCCTGCCAGCCGCTGTGCGAAGGCGACCCCTTCATCCGTCGGTGCAAACCTCGTACCCTGCACACGGGAAGGGCCCGAGGCGGAGAGCGGCGCGGAGGAGCGCGACGGCGCGGAGGCCTCCCACAGCGGCGCCCTGGTGCTCTTCTCGCGGCCGAGTGCCGTGACGATGGTCTTCCGCTTGCACACCTTGCTGCCCGACGCCGCCTCGAGCCGCCCCTGCACGAACTCGACGATCTCGTCACGAGACCGCCTCCCCGCCAGCAGCGCCTTGAGGACCTCGGTGCGGACGATCGGAGGCCTCTCGCCCGCCTCTCGCTGGACGGACGCCTCGGGCTCGTCCCACACTGCTGCGGCGGCCGAGGTGCTGGCGGCCGAGGTGCTGGCGGCCGCCACCGTCGCGCCCGCAGCCTTCCGGAGGCGCGCCGAGCCGCCGCTGTCGGGGATCCACTCGTCGTCCCGCGTCTGGAAGCCGCGGTAGTGCACCTTGATCTCGCGCCCGCTGTTTGCGCCGCGGACGGCAACCACCTCCGCGGCCCGCCAGCTGAGCGGCTCGCTGTGTACCTCGAGACAGTCGCCAACCTCCCAAGGAGGCGAGGCCGCATCGCTGCCACCTGTGCCGGCGTCGCCACGCCCCTCCTCCTCCTCCTCCTCCTCCTCCTCCTCGTCCACCTCGTCCTCGCCAACCGCCTTCGCATACGCCACCGCCGCCTCCACCGCAGTCTCAAAGCAGCCGATGTAAACCTTGCGCCGTCCGCCAACGCTGCGTGACGCCTCGAAGCGCCCGTTGGAATGCGCGTACACCCCCCTGAAGCCGGTGTTGCTGCGGCTCGAGAGGTGGAGCTGCAGCCCCTCGGCCCCCACCTCCTCCTCGCCCTCCACGCCCTCCTCCTCGCCCTCCTCCTCCTCCTCCTCCACCACCACCACCACCGG